ATTTCTACAACTACCAAGAGAGCATGTTCAGGACTGAAATCAGATTTTATTCATCTAGTTATTCTTAGTGCCTAACACAGCACAGTGTTCATGGTTGGCACTCAGAATTATTCACAGATGGAAAAGAGAGAAACAAAGAAAGTAAAATGATGATTCTGGTGACTGTAAGTTTCTAGTAAAAGAGGATGAAAAGAGAATTGCTCAAAACAGTAGTGAGCTTCGCATATTAGGATTTAGAAAAACCCATTTACTAAATGTATTTTGTTTAATAACAATTTTAACCTATGCAGTAGATGCTATTGTTTACCATATTCTGAGGAAAGTAAACTAGAAAATGTTAATTCTTTTACTTAAACAAATAATCCGTCATTGGTTTGGGTTCTTCATAACAATTTCATTATGCATTATGATGAATTCAGTGAGAGCATACTTTTCTGTCCATTCAAACATTTTCCTGGACTGACTTATTCTTAGTTCAGCATTCCATTGAGTAAATAACAAACTTCCTCTTTTTCACCATTTAAATTTCCAGTTTGAAAACCAAGCTTAGAATAATGAACAAATCTACAATTTTTGTCTGATAAGACCCTAAGACATTAATGCATGTTGTTGTGAGCTATCTTGGAGCCTTCATCTTTTCTCTCTACAGAGGAAAGGACATCAATTTAACAACAGCTGCAGTGGGAGTGTGAGCAATCTGTTCTACCATCAGAGCAGGAGCTCTTAACAGTTACAAAGACCTACTCTTATCCAAATGTTAGATGGTTCATTTCATTTTATTAATGGCTCTTCAGAATTATGCATTTACGTGCTTAAGAATATCAAGAGAATAAAAGCAGGAGTTGGACTTCAATCATTTTACTTTTCTGAACTAGAGCATTATTTATATCACCATTTTCAACCTCCTATTAAAAATTTCATTTCAGATCCAGCAGGTGGTATGGTGATTAAGGTGCTGATTCCCATATAGCTGACCACAGTTTAGTCCCAGACGTGGCAGTTTAAAAACCATGTCAGCCAGCAGGTGGTGTGGCGATGAAGGCACTGGAGACTCCCATATGGCTGACCATGGTTCAAGTCCTGGACTTGGTGGTTTGCTTTCTCACTTTCCCTCTCTCTCTCTCTGCGTCTCTCTCTGGTCAAATTAAAGTAAACGAATGAATAAATAAAATAAATTGAAAAAAAAAAACTTGTCGGGTGCATGTGCATGCATGCTCAAAATTCCAGGAAGAGAAAGAAGAGATTGCAGTGTGGCTTTCCCCTCTGGGCTGTAATTTCTTGCTTTCTGTCTCTCCTTCTCTCTCTCTCTCTCTCTCTCTCTCTCTCTCTCTCTCTCTAGTGAGTGTACACACCGTATGTCAAAAACAAGAAAAAAATGGCTTTAAATAGTTTTAAGTAACAGTGAAATTTTGACACAAATTAAAGTGAAAACTTATGTTCATAGTTAACTTTTTGTTTGTAATAATAACTATACAAGTCAAAGCAATAATTAACAAGAACTGACATGGTCAACATATTTTGAATCAAAGCCCTATGTTTATGAGCTCCATGATTTTCCTAATTTAGAATTTGTCACAACCCTATTTATGCATCATTAAATAAAACATTCAAGCCCAAAGAGGTAGTTATATGCAGATTATTTAAGCATTCAAATCTAAAAGAAAACTGGCAGCATTTTTCCCCCCAGGGGAAAGAATAGTCATGGCATTGACTTGGTTTTGCTTTTTATTTATTTATTTTTTTAAGAGAGATTTTTGCTATAGGGCATGTGCACTTGACAGAGAGACAGAAAGTGATAAATCACCCCTCAGGGGGGATGGCCTTGCCATAATCCCTTCTCCATTTTCTTCTTGGGATCTTGGGCATGCACACACGTGCCTAGTGTGAGTTTTAAGTCATAGTGTCTGGGACTCAAACCATTGTTGACTATGTGAGAGTCCAACAATGTAACCATTATGCCATCTGCTGGTCCCAATTTTGCTTTTTAAATTACTTTACATCTGTGATTGAAATACAGAAACACTCTTACAACATCATAAGGGAATCACTGTTAGACTGAAATGATGGGAAGAGGACAAGACACCTTACTATATTTAACCTTTCACAGTTAAATTGTCAAAAGGACAAGACAAATTACTATATTTAACCTTTCACAGTTAAATTGTGAATATCAATTATTTATGATGAATAATTCAGTATTTTTCCTAAATACTAGTTTAAATTCTTTTTAATTTATTGTTTAAAGGTGTCTACTTTGTTCTCCAGTAAACGCTATGGAAACTAAAGTTAAATAAGCTTCCTTGTGCTTAGGGTGATTTACTTCCCTGAAACAAGTCACTGTTTGGCCAAGTCCAAGCAGGGCTGAATTCAAATAGGGCACCTAACCACTCTAGTCTCAGATTCATGTCAGAGATGTAGGTTATATGTGAATTCCTTCTGTAGAAAAATTTCCCTAATTTATTAAAATTACATCTAGCCAGACACAGCTAAACAGGAGGGTGGAGGTTCTAGATAGTTGTGTAACAGTACAATGTAACTCTCATCAAGGCGGACCCACATAGGAAGGTTCCTGGTTCGTCTCCAGAGCTTCCTGAGTATGCTTGGCAGACATAATGCTAGTGACTGGGGTCGGGTGAATCTGCGAATACACTGATGCATCATGGAGGTGCTTGTCTCTCTCTTCCTCACTCTCTGTCTTGTTGACTTATGTAAGAAATAAGTAAGTGGACATAAAAAGCTAAATAGGAGAAATTAAGTCCATAAGTAATCTAAGTATGATATAGGAACTCTCTGTGATAACACTATCTCTATGTCTGTGCTTTCGTGTTTTGAATCATTTGATGCATGTCAATAAGTGCTTAAAATAAACATTATAAAATGGGAAAAAATTTCAATCAAGTAAAAACATATTCCATTTTCAACTCTGCTCTAAATAAAAAAACTAATATAGATTGTAATGGAAAACATTACAGTGAAATGCTTTGGCAAATACTTGTCCTAATGAAGTAATATTTGATTTGATAAATTACAGTATAGTAAATTATTTTTGAGTTATTTTAAAAATTATTTGATTGACCTCTGTGCTTGTACTTACAGCTAAACACACAAAATTTTATTTATTCATTGATTATAAGGCAACATGCTGTTTGTTTTTCTACAGTATATAAAGTTTTGTTTGTTTGTTTGTTTTGAGAGAGAGAGAGTTTTGTCATAGGGCACATGCACTCACCAGAGAGGCAGAGAGACAGATGGAGAGACAGAAAGCAAGAAATCACACCCCAGGGGGATGGCCATGCTGCAATTTCTTCTCCTCCACTTTCCTCTTGGGATTTTTGGACATGAACACACTCGCACCTGACATGATTTTTTTTTTAAGCCACTAGGTCCAGGACTCAAACCATGGTCAACTATATGGGAGTCCAGCAATATAACCATTACACCATCTGCTGGTCCCTAGAGTTTTAACTCCAGAATATGAGTTACAGGGTTAAAAGAGTTACCAGGGGATATTTTAATAGCCTAATACTCAATATATATTTTGCATAACATGCTAAAAGTAAGTTGTAACATTTTGAGACACGTAATTTTATTATCTAACACTGATGGTGTAACAGTTGAATGGCAAAATAAAATCTCTCAGATTTCATGTTAATTTCTTCATTGGGATGGGAAATTATTGTATAATTTTATAGATGAAAAGCATAACTTCTTGTTTGTTCCTGAACAATTAATGTAAACACTTCAAATAATTTCTAAGGCTAACATGGGGAGACATTTTGAAGGATGTATTTGAAATTACAATTATTTGTTAGTATCTGCAGTTCAACAAATGGACACCTTGGTCTGAGCACTCTGGGGTAGATGTGGCTATTTCCTCCTCGGAAGGGGTTTGGGGACTCAAGGAAATACTGATGTTTCATTTCTTGGAAAGGTTAAGAGACTTGGGAATAATATAGCAGCATGATTTTGAAGCATTTCCATAGGAAAACCTGTGTCCTCTCTAGAAACATGGACTTCATCCACATACCCGGATGGTTCCTTGAGTGCAGGAACAAACAATGCTTTTGTTTGTCTGTACAACTTCAGTTAGTCACTAAATGCACAAATCCAAGAAGAGACAGTGCCTACTCGGAAGTGTTATGGAGAGGAAATACCTTGGAGAAGAACGGAGAAGAGGCTGCTGGACTTGGCAGTTAGAAGCCATTTGGTGATGTTTGAAAGAGTGATTTCAGTAATACCAAGAAGTGGAAACAGATTGTGGCTTGTTAAAGAGAGATTATAAAGTGAAGCACATGAAATAGTCATATCAGTTCAGTGACAGGAAAGGGAATGATGGCTTAGGGACTAGCAGAAAGCAGCGTTACAGGGAGGTTTTGAATAACAGGGACTACCAAGTCTCCCCAGCGCAGAGACTCAGACTAAAGAATGAGGTCATGATAATGGGGTGTGGGGGAGAGAGAGTTGGAGTCAGTGATGGGTAAGGTGCCAGGAGAGATTTAGGAGCAGAAAGTGATAGCATAAGATGCTATTAGATTTCTAATATTCCATATATTTGGGGGAAACATCCAATGTTAATATAGGTGCATGGTTTCTTAGCATTTATTTGTAGGACAATAAATAGTAGAAAAATGAGAAGATTCCAAAGTAAGAGCTGTAAAATATTTTTGAAAATGGTATATCCTCTTTCAAAATAATACTAAATGAAAGGAGATAGGAGAAAAAAAAAAGATGGGGAGACAAACTTGCTCTCCTTTTCTGAGAGAAGCTAGCACATTTCCTATGGTACCAAATCAATTTTTTTCTTGGCAGTAAACAGATTATTACAGCTACTGTGTGCCATTGCTATTATATTAAGTGGACTAGCCCTAAAACTTGTCTCTCCTAGTGAAAGGAAAACATATGATTTCTGTAGTGCATAAGAACTCTGATACCAGAAAACCACATTACATCACCTCTATTTTAATTGCTATTGTGTATATTTGTTTGTTTGTTTGTTTTAGCACCAAATGTGGCTCCTTCAGATGTAGGTGGTGGGGGTGGAAGCAACAGAGAGCTGACAATAACGTGGGCGGTAAGTATTGACATGTTGCATATGTTATTGGGTACTGAATCTCTACTTAATCTCAAGCCCATTTTGCTTTTTGAAATAAAAGTACATTCAACTTACAAGCAAGAATGAATTATATTTTTTCCTTAAATGCATGCCATATTTTATCTGACTTATAGTATAAATGTTCATTTCCTAGGCAAAACCAGAGTCTGAATGCTAAAGCATCTATTAACCTAAGAGATTAAATATTCAATATCAGATTCTAGATGTATTTTGAATTCATCATGTTCTGGTAGTTTATACCCAATTGTAATTTATAATGTTGACTCTGGACATTCCAAACTCTGAAGATTTCATTTACAAACTTTGCATAAAACCCATTTTTAAATTGAAAGCTACTTCCTTACCCAAGGTAGACTTTGACATGGTAGGTCAGTCTTAGAAGTCACCCAAAGATTTATTACTGAGATATCCAAAATATTTTATTAAATTTTTACAACCCAAAGGAGAGTTCTATGACAGAGACTATTATTTCTGGAAAACAGAATATCTTAGCTGGATTTTTGAAATGGGAGCAATATTAGGAGGAGGTGGGAAAGGTTGCTAGGGTACAAACTTGTCTGCATTAGACAGCTGGCATGTACCCAGGTAGCCTGTTTTATGCAGATCCATTTATTCAATAAATATGTTTAATGTTTATTCACTAAAGATAGTTAAACTGCACAGCTCAGGCTTCAAAGAATTTTGAGAACTTCAGGTAAAATGATAAGTTTAATTCTTTCCATGAATCAAATTGATTTATATAATAAGTGGATATTTAGCAAAACTTGAATTTGCTCTGTGCTATGGCGTTTAAATCAGATATAGGAAAAAAATATCTTTTGCTATTCTGAATCTTAAATTATAGATTTCTATATGTTGCCACTAATGAAACATTCAAAAGTGCAAATATAAAATATTTAAGATATTATTTATTTAATACTATTATTATTATTATTCAAATTTGCTACAGGATATGTATGCTCACCAGAAAGAGAGAGAGAAAGGAGAGAGTGAGAGAGAGAAAGCTGCCAGGTCCAGGACTTGAACCACAGGCAGGTACATGATAGTCCAGAGTCTTAACCACCACTCCACCTGCTGGCCTTACAAACGTAAAAATTAGGGACCAGCAGTTAGCGTAATGGCTATGTCGCTGGACTCCCATGTAGTCGACCACGGTTCGAGTTCCAGACCTAGTGGCTTAAAACTCACGCTGGGCGCATGTGCATGCGTGCCCAAGATCCTGAGAGAAGAATGGAGGAGAAGGGATTGCGGCGTGGCCATCCCCCTGGGGGGTGATTTCCCACTTTCTATCTCTCTGTCTCTCTCTGTCTGTCTGTCTGGCGAGCCCACGTGCCCTATAGCAATAAAAAGAAAACCTCTTCAAAAAAAAAAAGAGACATTATATTCTTTTCTGTATGACTTGATCTGTGTAAACTCTGTGAATATCCACTTCAGAAGAAGATGGATCTTGTGCAAAATTTCAGAATTATAAATCCTCCCCACAAAGTCCAAAATCAAGTTTCTGGTGTTAGGGTTTGTGAATCATTACCCAAAGTATGGTTGCTGATACTGTTATACTCTGAATTCTAAAACCTAAGCAGAGAACTCTCTAATAATCTAAAATCACATGGAGTTATACTTCAGGATGTCTATACTGCACAACCAAGTCCAGTTTCTACAAGGCCCAGAATAGAAACCCCAGGGGTGTTTAAGGAATACAAAGAATGCCATTTGGTAAATGGTGCCATCAAATGTGTGAGCATGTTTTGATTCTGGCATTTTTGAACAGCACTAACTTATGAACTAAGTGTGTTTTCACAAAGAGCAAGCTTCCACCTGTTGCATTATTTGAAGGATTATTCCCACTGGTAAGTGTGTCACTAAAACCTATTTAATATTTTAATTTTTATTTAGCCCTTGTCAAGAGAATACCACTATGGTAACAATTTTGGTTACATAGTAGCATTTAAGCCATTTGATGGAGTTGAATGGAAAAAAGTGACAGTTACTAATCCGGAGACCGGCAGATATGTCCATAAAGACGAAACCATGAGCCCTTCCACTGCGTTCCAAGTGAAAGTGAAGGCTTTCAACAGCAAAGGAGATGGACCCTACAGTCTCATAGCCGTCATTAACTCAGCACAAGATGGTGAGTGAAAGTAAAAGAGGGCTTGACCAGCTCGACGAGGGAGGAAAACCTAGCTCTCTTGTATGCCTTCAATTTGCCTTAATTCACGCCCTACTCCTTAGCACAGCGGTCCCTTGGTATCCACAGGAGATTGGTTCCAGAAGTCCCCTCAGATTTGAAAATCCACCATGTTCAAGTCCCTTCTATTGAATGAAGTAATATTTGCATATCAACTGTGTACATCATCCCACATACTCTAAATCCTCTCTAGATAGTAAATAATTTTTATATAGTTCTTTTTATTTGTAGTTTTTTAAAATTGTTTTCTGTTTTTTTCCAAATATTTTTGATCCATGAATTTTTGAATCTGCAGATGGGGAATCTGCAAAAATAGAGGGATAATTATACTACGGATTTAATAAATGAGTATTATTAGGTCAGCAGAAAAGTCATGATGTATTTTTTCTATGCAAAAATCAGAAAAGTCATGACCCAATATTTTAAGCCAAATTAAAATGTCAATCTCTCCATCTAAATGAAAAGACTATCACTAAAATCTTTCTCATCCTTGAGATCATGTCCATGGTAGTTTAAAAATTGTGCTAAAATTTTTAGCTTTGACTCTTGTTTCTGAACTTTTGGTTATAACTTTGCAGTAAAAATTCTATGTACTGTATTAAAACCTTAATATGTCTTTGTTTTCATGAAGTTTAATATTTAGAAATGCTATAACAAATACATTATTTATAAAATTGCTCCAAATTTTAACCCAAAATTATGTACAAAATTGCATTTATATATCTTTCCCTGTTATTACAATAGTGCTGGAATTTTATTAAAGGAAATTTAGATATAAATTATATTAAAAAGGGTTAAAAAAGACAGTTGAAATGTTTTCATGGAAATGAAAAAAGAGATCAAAAAGTCAGTTGAAATGTTTTCATGGAAATGAAAAAATTTTTCTATAGGCTACTTAAGGAAAAAAACCAATACTCTCTTGTTTTTCTAGAACATTAATTGAACTGAACATTAAATCTTAGAGTTGCTTTATATGTCTATGTTAAATGACATACACTTTTAGACTAGTCATAATTACATTATTTTTTACTATGTTCCCTCTAATCTTACACGTTCACCCTTGGCCAAGTTTCTCTGTGCACATATGTGAGAAGCACAAATAGAATTTGAAAACAAATCATTTGAGGTCCTTTTTAATTCTCTTAGAGGCAAAATGCACGATATATTTGTTTACTCAATCTGCATTATTTTTAGTCCAAGATAAATTTTTAACTCTTCCTATGAAATCAACAGAAATTCTCATATATACCCTCAGTCAAAGATTTATTAGCTTTCGTATTTTAAAAAAATGTAATATGTACTTAAATCATCTCATGATCATTACTTTCAATACAAATATGCCATTTAATATGTACATCTCATAAGATCATGTTATATACCTTAATTATACATAATCAATTCTATCAGAAATTCAAATTAATTAAAAAATAAAAATTTGAGGCCAGTAATTAGTGTGATGGTGGAAGTGCTTGACTCTCACATGGCCAACTTTGGTTCAAGTCCTGGCCCTGGCAGTTGGCTTTCTTACTTTTCCCCTCCCTCTCTGTCTTTCTGTCTCTCTCTGGTGACTGTATGTGCCCTATAGCAAATCAAATAATAATAAATATATTAAATAAAATTAAATAAATATTTAAAGAAATTTTTTAAGAGAAGTTTTTGCTATGGGGTGCATGCGCTTACAAGAAAGACAGAGAGCCAGAAAGTGAGAAATCACCTCCTGGGGGTGGGGAGGTGGCCAGGCCACAATTCCTTCTCTTCCATTCTCCTCTTGGGATCTTGGGCACACACGTGCATGAGCCTGGCTTGAGTTTAAGCCACCGGGTCTGAGACTTGATCCACAGTGGACTATTTGAGAATCCAACGATGTAACCATTACACCACCATCTGTTCCTGAAATTTTTTTTAAAGGGAGTCATACACACGCACACACACACACACACACACACACACTTATTTGTAATTGCCAACAAGCACATGAACTCACCAGAGAGAGAAAGACAAACAGGGAGAGAGAAGGAGAAAGCACCGTTCACTGGGCCGTGGTCATGCCACGCTCACTTCTTCTCCATCCTGTGGAGATTTGGGCATGCACACACATCGCATGTTTTTTAAGCAGCCAGGGCTGGTATTCAACCACAGTCAGACATGTAGGATCCAACTACCTTAACTGTTAGTTACACTATACTGTTAGTATGGTATACATTATACTTTGAAAATTTAGCTCAACTCAATATATTGAAAAAATATAATGTAGAAATAATTTGATAATCAATATGACATTCTCTATGCTTGTGCTCATGCAGCAAAAATTTGGTAATGTGACGCCATTTTAATCATTTAAACAGCATGAGTAAATCTCAAAGAGAAGAGTTAAAAGCAGTTTACAAGTTCTCTTCTCACCCAATATCAATTTGATTACCACGTTATTTGTCATGAAAAAGTAAGCTTTCAAGCAAAAGGCCATGATTGTCATCTCTTTAGTCACGGCCATTTGTGTTTAATTATATTTCTTTCCTAAATATTTAATGAGTCTCATAAAACTTGCATGTGCTGAAACTTGTATAAGTGTTAATCTTTTCTTCTAATGCTATGAAATCAATCATAGTGCTACATGTTTGCCTTGATTTGAAAAGGCAACAGTGTTCATATGTGGGATATTTTTTAACATTAAGTAGGATTATGGCTTTTAATGAAAGACAATAAAAATTGATTATGCTTGCCTAAAGGTTTCCTTAGTTTCTTTGTGTAAATTTCATAAGAGATGTAAATTATGTTTTCTCCCTGCACAGAGGTCTTTTTGATACATATTTGACTTGATGCCCAGTTAGAAGATTAGATTTATAAAAGCTTTTTTGAGCCCAGAAAAGAGTGAATGTCACAACTTGTTTCAGGAGATTAAAAAAGTTTTCAAAAGATCTTAGCTTGAACATAAAGAGGGAAATCTTATTAATAGTATTGCTGTGTATAACTAGTTCGTATAAATAGCAATGAATTGTAATAAACAATTTTCAATAATACCAAATTTTCTACTTTTGATCATGTAAAATTGATAAGCTAAATATTAATTAACTTTCATTTGTAACAGGCTTTCTTAGACATAGCAATTGGAAAATATCAAAAAACAGCATGGTTCTTTCTCACAGATGTAAAAAATCCACATAACTTAATATGTGTGAAAACAAGTGTGTGTATGTATATGTATGTGTGCGTATATTGACATTCAAGTAGAATATATGTGTGTGCATGTATCGCTGATGACCATGGTATAAAATAGCAATAGAAGAAGTAATAAACTTATTGAATTTATTTTAGAAATAAATGAAAATCTAGTTCTAATTTATTCAAATCACAAATAATACTACTCGAATTACCTCATGTAAGCCTCGTTTTAGTTTTTTTTAATTGCCAGAGGGTGTGTGTACTCATCAGTGATAGACAGGCAGAGACAGAGAGACAGAGGTAGAAAGACGGAAGAGACAGGGAAGAGGAAGAAGAAAAGACAGAAGAAACAGTGGAGCGTGGTCACACCACAATCACATCGCCTCCATTTCTCCAGCCTTTCAGAGTTTGGAGCAGGACGCACACATGCCTGGCATGTTTCTCAAGCCATCAGGGCTGGACCTTGAACTATGTTCAGTTCTGTGGGATTCAACTCCTTAACCACTAGGCCACAGGGCCAGCCTATGTGTAAGCAAGCCTCTTACTGAGCATGCAATGTTTTCATCAAATTTCAGCTCCCAGTGAAGCACCGACAGAAGTAGGTGTGAAAGTCTTATCGTCCTCTGAGATATCTGTTCACTGGAAGCACGTTCTAGAAAAAATTGTGGAAAGCTATCAGGTGAGTGCAGTTTTTATTAAACTAAATATGCGAGCAGATGTTTTCAAATATGTCACAACTTGCAGTGTTCTGTGTCTCATGAATTATTTGGCATCTAACACTCTTCTTTTTCTAAACTTTTTAAAAATTTTTAAATTTATTCACTTATTTTCATTTGACCAGAGAAAGAGACATACACAGAGGGTAAAGGGGGGGAGTGAGAAAGCAAGCCACCAGGTCCAGGACTTGAACCATTGTCAGCCATGCCACCTGCTGGTCCCCTAATACCGCCTTCTTTATGTTAGGCCTCTGAGTGTGTATAAGCTCCTTGTGCAGAGTGAAAGTTTCCCCACTGGTGTATTAGGAGAGATGTAAGGCAGCTCTACACTGGCAAACAACAGGCCAAGATCAAAACTAAGGTGGTAGCACTCCTGGTTAGTCAGCATCTTTAAAGATAACATTCTCAGAAAATCCTAGTGAATCTCAAGTTTTCTGGAAAATGTTTTGGTCATTTGTAACAACATTCTTCAGATGATTGCCCTGTGTGACTCAGCAGTTAGTTCCATTTCTAAAAGTCCCTTTGAAGGAACTCATTTATATATATATATAAATACACACACACACACATATATGTATACATACACACCACATTTTGCCTTTTAATATTATCTATGAAGGGAGAAAATTGGCAACAATCAAAATATCCCAAAGAAACTGAGTCTTAAAGGAT